GTGTTTTATAAACGTATATAAAACTTTCGTAAACTAGTATATTGCTAAATCAATAAAAAAAAAAGTTTAAATAAGGAATTGCAGCAGTTTTGTCTATAAAAGACTACAAAAACGGTTCTGACGACAAGAAAAGTTATTATAACTGTTTTACTGACAAATTTGCATTAAAATTGCCAAAATAATGAACTATGTTTTGAATTACTGAATTACTTGCATGGTTCGCATAATTTGATAAAAAAATAGTACCATATGTTTCTAAATCTGAAAAATAGGCCCAATTCTGTGAGATTTTCGTATAACTCCGAAGTAAGTGGAATGACAGGTAAATACTTCGAAAATTTGAATTCACCATCTATACTGAAGGTACTGCTAACTTGTAATATTTAAATATTTATGCCACAAACATTAAATCAGACTCTTTAATTTAGCTCATAACAAAATTTTCTTTTAGTTATTTAATAACGATAATGCACAAAATTCGTGAATTTGTTCAATAATTGATCAATAATTATATACTTTAGACACTAACATTGCTTTGTTTGTATTAATTGTCAAGGAAATTTCTAAAATGGTAGCAAACAACAATTTATCACCGAACCAACTGATACACCAACTATTTACCGATAAACAAAGATAGCCTTTGCAATTTTACAAAGAACTATTAAATTAAAATTAAATTGTCAATAGTAGTATCTATATTTAGTATAATAATTGTATTCAAATTACTCTTACAACAACAAAAATTATCGCTTGCAGTTTTATTTTATCTTTTTCTGATGAATTTACAAAAATCTAAATATTTACGAAATTTTGGAATAATGTACAATGTCAAAATATGTAATCATCCCCTGGAAGAAATAATTTGATGGTTATTAAATATTTGATATTGATTTATTGTCAATAAGAGTTGGATGTTTGGCAGACTACTAAGTGTGGACGAGAGACTAGACACTTAGAAGAAATATGTGGAAGTAATATTTGCAGATGAAAAACAGGTAGCAATTGAAGACATAGAATGCCAAACAGGACCCCCGATTACCATTGAAGAAGTCACGGCAGCTATTAGAAAAATTAAAGATGGTAAAGCTGTAGGGCCTGACAAATTTTATACAGAATTCCTGAAACTTATTGACGAACAAGAAATACAATGGATAACGACTATATTTAACAAAATATATATGACTTTCAAAGCTGGTTAAAGTCGATCTTCGTAACTATACCAAAAAAATTACCTAAAAGAGTAGAATAAAAATCAAGCATCCTAATACCTCTCTTCAAAAACAGAAACCAATCAAACCCGAAAACTTACAGAGGAATTAATTTATTAAACACAACATTAAAATATACAACCAAAGTGATAACAAATAAACTGATTGAAATTATAACACTAACTAACAGAAGAACAACAAGGTCGGTAAGAGTGCACGACGCTATACCTATTTATTATGAGGCAAATGCAAGAGAAATCATTAGAATACAACAAACCGGCATATCTATGTTTCCTGTTCCTTAGGAAGGCATTTGACAGGGTCAAATTAAAAGACATTATCCACTTACTGTACGCAAGAGAGATACCTATTGGAATGATCAAAACCATTCAAAATATCTACCAAAACAATACAATAAAAGTAAAAGTAGAAGAAGAACTAACCAACCTTATTGAAGCTGACAATAGGATAAGATAGCAAATGGTATATACTATAACTATTTTGTGTATGTTGGCAATACGTTTTCTTTGTGTTGATGATCGACTTAGTTGTCACTAGTCTGTTTACAATTTTATACTTATACTTGTAAATTAATAAAACTTATTTTTTTCTATTATTCAATATTACCAGCTTTAGCCATACGGCTCACACTCCCTCTAAGGGGAAAATTCATACGGTATCCAAAGGATAGAGCCCTGGTGGAACTCCGTGTTATCGAGCTCCAGGTGACTTGGTACGCTGGAGTATCTCTCAAAAACTTTCGTAAATATAATAATAAAATTAAATATAATAAGAGTGTTATTATTATTAACCTACATAAATTTGGTTTAAATATTTTTTTAGCAAATTTAGTATTTAGTAAAAAGTTATTTATTAATATTTCGTAATGTTTTCGTTAGATTATTCCAAAGAAAAATGTAACTTGAATTAATTTTTCTAGTTATTCTTATGTGGGTTTTTCTAAATGTATATTTAATGACTTAATGACATATATTTATTTCTTGGAAATTATGATTTTAACGGCATAGCTGTAAGTGTGATTTAAATATCAATTTACAGAAATATAAAATAAAATAAATGCTGAATATTTAATTTACATAAATTATTTTTAACAGAAAATAAAGCTTTTTATTAAATAATACTAAAAGCTAAATGAAATTGTATTAAAAAAGCTATCGTAACCACCACCAAGTCTCTGATCGCTTTCCAAAAGTACAAAAAGAAGAATTTGATGACTGACGAAATATTATCAATGATGGACGACCGAAGAACATTTCAAAACAAAGACCGAACCAAACATTAGCAGATTAACCGACAAATACGAAAAGAGGGTCGCAAAGCTAAAGAACAGTGGCTGCTAGATAGGTGTGCAGAAATGGAGGAATTGGAAGAAAAACATGACCACTTTAAGATACATAAACTCGTTAAAGAAGGGACAGGTCATACAAAACCTTGCAGTTTTAACAGTATTGTGAAGGACAATAGATTAATTACTAATCCCAAGGATCTACTTCAATATTGGAGAAACCACACACAGCAACTATACTTAGACAACACTAGAAGAAACTCTGAAATATAAAATAAAAAGAAATATAAAAGTGAACCCTCCACCAAAATATTGAAGTCAGAAGTTGTAAGGGCAATCAAACAAAGCAAATGGGGAAAAGCACCAGGCCCAGACGACATATACATAGAGGTTCTAACAATGTTGAGTGAAGACAATATAGATGCCTTGGTAGATCTTTTTAATGACATTTATGGGTCCGGTCAAATATCACAGGATTGGCTTCAATCAACCTTTATACCAATTCCAAATGGGCCAAATGTTAATAGTTGCGACCAATTCCGAATGGTCAGCTTATTGAGCCAGGTCGTAAAACTCTTCTTAAATATAAATCACACAAGAATATACAACAGATATGAAAGAGACATTAGCCCCACACAGTTCGGTTCCAGACAAGGATTTGGCACAAGAGAAGCACTTTATAGCTTAACTGTCCTACTTCAGAAATGAAGAGATTAGCAAAAAGATGTCTTTTTATGCTTTATAGATTACCAGAAAGCATTCGATTGTGTTAATCATTCAGAATTAGTAAGATTGCTCCAGGAACGTTCGATAGATGAGAACGACCTTAAAATCATAAAGAACCTTTATATGAATCAAGTGGCATCTGTGACAGTAGGACTGAAATCTACATCATATTTCTCAATCGAAAAAGGTGTACGACAGGATTGTGTTTTGTTACCCCTCCTTTTAAATCTTTACTTTGAAATGAGTTTCGATAGAACCTTAAGTGACACTGAAGATGGAATCAAAATCAACGGACAGACTATTAGTAATCTTCGTAATAGTAATAAACACTGAAGGAGACCGACTGGGCTTGAAGATTAATATATACAAGAGGAAGGTAATGGTGGTTAGTAGAACACGAAATATGCAATTAAATATAAACAAAAAGAACATCCAAAAGGTCCCCAAGTTTAGATATCTCGGTAGTTGGATAACTGAAGTTCTAGATCCAAACATAGAGATACGTAGCAGGATTGAGCAAGCCAGAACAGCATTTACTAATATGAGAACCTTGCTAAGAAACTGCAGCCTTAATTTAACGCTTCGATATCGCTTTGTAAAATGTTACATTTACTCCATACTGCTATATGGTGTAGAAACCTGGACCATAACAATGTGATGAACCGATGGAAGGCCTTTTAATGTGGGTATTTAGAAGACTACTTAAAATTCCCTGAACAGATCACACAACAAATGTCGAAGTATTAAATCGATTGGACAGAGAACGAGAATTGCTGCCAATAATAATTTCGAAATTCCAAGTCCAGTTTTTAAAAGCTTATTATGGAAGAGAAGATAGAAAGAAAACGGAGCATGGGAACAAATGGGCTTAAAATCATCAGGCATTAGACAAGACCTTTATGCCCATGAAGTCTGTAGAGTCACACAAGATCGGGGAGTATGCTAGAATTGTCGCCAACATCCACTAAATAGATAGGGCACCATAAGAAGAAGAAAAGATAAACACTTTTAGCTACACAATATTCTTTGTTGTCTACGGCATTAACAAATAGACACTATTAAAATGATGTTTTATGGTTAGGTTTATTTGTGTCTGCCAAAAAACCCAAAAACTGAATTTTACATTTAAAAAATACACGGAACAATAAATAATGGGACAAAATTTTGTCTTCTGAAGGCTAATAGATAGTCCGAGGGTTTCCTTAACAAAAACTAGCAAAAAGTAACTATAACTGTATAGTAGTTTTTCTTACACTTTAGAAACATTCTTACGCCAAGAAAAATTACTTTATTCAAAAAAGTTCATTTATAAAAGAAAAAACTGCATTAATATTAATATTTATATATAATTTTGGCAGTTTAAAAATCTAAAATAAAGGTAACAAAATATTTTGTTAGAGCAATATCTATTTGCCAGTAAAAATCTGGTTCTTTAATTAGAAATAATTGTTTTAGTCAACAAAATTTAAAATTATTTACAATAAAATGTAAACAAATATGTTAAAATACTATAACCTGCTTTTGACTGCTAATGAATGTAATTAAACATTAAAATGTAGTTATTATATTAAAAAAAACAAACATTTCATTGTGTATTTTTGATGCACCTCATTAATGAACTAAAGATTTGATATCTGAATACAATTTTTCTTCTCATATAATTTTTTAATATTTAAACATTTACTTTTTTGGGTAACTTAACTATTATAGATATTATAAAAAAACTAATAAAAGGGGCGTGCAATCATTGCAGTACTCACATTTCTCACAGCCAACCACTGCCAAAACGCCTACAAACACGATACAGCACGTGCTAAAATACGCCAAACGGGTCATTTTGCTCTTGTTCTCCAACTCCAACGTTTCAGTACCACACTAACTAACCGACTAAATAGTACCTAGTAGCATGTGTACTTCATCTTCGTGGTCAACCAAAATCACCTCTCTTGCTACTTTATGTTGAAGGACAACACTAATGTAGACCAGTCGGACTTCCCTTGTCTGTTGGGTTTTTCTTCGACAAATTTATCAGAGGTCAAACAAAGTGGTACTGCTGGATGATATTATAAACAATTTGCATTGAATTATTGTTTATTCGAGCCTGAGGCGGCTGGTTCTCGTGGGATTTTGTTGATAAACGGAATGATACTACGAGGGTATTGAGAAAAGTAGAAACAGCGTATAAATAATATCTGTTCATTTGTTCAAATAGTTTTTAAGATTGATTTTTGTAAATCAACAATAAATTATAATATTTGTCGCTTTACATGTATTGCGTATTAACTAATTACATTGACATAATATAGAGCTGGAATACCGAAATGAGGAACTCGTGGAACCCCCCTCGGTAGATAAAGTGAAAATATCTATAGAAAAACTAAGAAACCACAAATCCCCAGGTAGCAATGGCATCCCAGCAGAGTTATTTCAGCACGGTGGAGAGCAGCTCACCAAGGTGATGCGAGAAATTGTTTGTAGAATTTGGTCTGAGGAGCAAATGTCTGAAGAATGGAGCTTAGGCTTTATTTGCCCGTTACACAAAAAGGGAAACCAACTGGAATGCAATAATTACCGTGGAATAATTCTCCTAAATAAAGCATACAAGATATTGTCAAATATTTGGCACGAGAGATTAAAGCCTTATACCAAAATATTTCTAGGAGAATATCAGGCAAGATATTCAGGCGTGGACGTTCAACAATTAAACCAGATCTTTACACTACGACAGATCCTCGAAAAAGTGCAAGCGCTTTTTAAATCGGCATATAACAGTGTCCTAAGTCTTTACAATGCAATGAATGAGTTAGGAATTCCAAAAAAACTCATATGTTTGATAAAAGTGACAATGGCGAAGATGCTATCAGCAGTAAAAATTCAAAACGACTCGTTAACCCCATTTGAAATACATAGGGGGTTAAGGCAGGGCGATGCGTTGGCGTGTCAGCTTTTTAATGCCGCCTTAGAAAAAGTTGTACGAGACGCTAATTTAGATAGCAGGGGAACAATATTTAATAGATCAGTTCAAATTCTAGCATATGCAGACGACGTGGACATTATAACAAGAACTAGGGCGAGAACTGTGGAAATCCCAACCGAGCTAGTAGCAGCAGCAGAACGAATGGGGTTACATATAAATCAAAATAAAACCAAATTCATGGCGACTAACACAAACACAAGAGATGAAAATAATGACGCAAATTTAATCATCAATGACCAAAATTTCGAAGCAGTCAACGAGTTCATATATCTAAGGATGCAGTCAGCAACTGGAAAATGCAAGCAAGGGACAGAACAGAATGGCGTAGAAAGCTTGAGAAGGTCGAGGCCCTCTAAGGGCTGTAGCACCAAGATGATGATGATGATGATTGACATGATTTACTAAAGTTTATTCTCGTATTGAAGACTCGACATCGTAATGGAAGATATTATCTTCTGTGAATAAAAAAAAATACTAAGAATCTACCATTCCCCAAAGTTCTTAAGCCACGATATCCATATATTTTTACCCTTCTAAAAATCCCCACGTTTGTTATAGTTATACGCAAATACAAAAAAAATGGAAGATAGAATTTCACGTTTTATACAGCTTTTGCTCGGTGTTTAGTAAAGAAGCATTCAATACAATAATGTTTTTACAGAGCATACATTCCCAATTACTTCGCGCACTTTTATTTGTTGCAACTTTTCGGTTATCAGAAATTTTCAAATTTTCGTAGCAAACAACACATTTCAATCTTGAATTAGTTTGTTCCATAGCATGATTTTCTGTGTTACCTTCGGGCTTATGTTCATCTATATCGATTGTTTCAATGCGTAATGAATAACATTTTTCTTTGAATAATAATATAATATATATATATATATATATATATATATATATATATATATATAATAATATTATAATAATATAATATAATATAATATATATATATATAATATTTGAATAATAATGTTTTTCTTTAAAATCGGTTATGGACAATTTTTCTTGTGTAATTTCTTTGTAGACCAAGCAAGCGTTTACAACTACAAACCCCAATGATGGCAAGCTTTGTACCAATTTGTTCCTCTGCATAGACAGTGAGAATATGCTTTTATTTGGTCAGACATGTTAATGTAACATTTAGCTCCGTTATAATTGATTATTGCTTATGGTTTTTCTACTGCACCACTTCTTTACAATACTTCTTTTGTATTATGTCTATGAAGGGTGCTGAGCATAAGCACATCCCTCTTGTCAGGTCATTTCATGACCATAATTCCGGAATTACTTTCTCTGGCATATATTTCTTTTGGTGTTAATTTTTTTTTGACCACCTCTTCAGGATTATATTTTCGATTGCTACGGAGGGTGCCCACCAGATGCATCTTTCGTTCTAATAATTTGGTGCCAAGGAGACCCTTGTATAATAATTATTCGTATACAGTTATCTACCAGAATCCAGTACAGCGTCCATTAGAGCACACACTACATTCGAAGATACTTAACTACCATTTTCGGTATCCGCTCCACAATAAACCCGAAGATTACAAGATACCCTCCTTCTTATACCGAACTTGTGCCTTTTACTTTTTATTTATTGCCTAAATCATAGTCGACCACGAAATAGTAGCATAGTCTTGTTAATGCACACATTTTTACCAGACGTAAACTCTTTTTTAACGTTTAAAAAAAACTGTAAGGATGGAAGTAATTTTGCGAAGTCTGCAAAAGCATTATTATTATTATCATCTTTTAACATCGCTATTTTCATCTTCCGAGTCAATCGAAGCTTGCGATTTGTGAGAGTAAGCATCAGACGAATAAACATCACCTATTATTACAGAATCACTTTCCTCATCCTACATTAGTTCATCCCATAACTGTAAAATGCGTTTCTGTCCTTTTTCGTAATCTCCCATTGTGCTTATACCTTGTTTACATTCACTTTAATAGGTACACTGCTATTCACAAAAATTTTGTTTATTTAAGGAACTAACAACAGACATGCTTAAAACACCTTAGCAAACAGAGACTATTACAAAAAAAATAATTGGTCCCAGGGACCAACAATTTTCATTGTATGGTGGCGCTTACGGTGTTAAAATGTTTATAAAACTAAAAAAATTACAATCAAAATCAAAACAGCAACTTAACCTCAAGGTTAAATAAACAACAATAGGATACAAATATATCGAATGATTTAATCCGAAAATCAGAATTTGTGAAACTGCAACCAGCTTCTACTTTGTAAAATGTAAAATAATAGAATATGATGTACGTACTGTCATCTACTCAAAGAATTGTTGAACTTAAGTTTATTTGAACGCCACTCATTTTAACTGCGACGTGAACATACCCATTAATTTATTTTACAATTTTTTATCACCTAGGATTTATAATAATTATTTATCCTAGAATCCATTTGATATTTTGTTATTTCAGACTTTGTAGTTCCATCTATTGAATTATACTAGTATTAAGCATGTAAAATGTTACACAAATCTGTTAAGAGGAATAAACTGTTTTTCTCTAGAAAACGAAGCGTCAAGCTTTTGCTTGAATAAAAAAAACTAATAATTTTAATTTATTTTATGATTTTTATCACCTCGTATTTATATAAATCATCCTAAAATACATTTGATATTTTATTTTAGACTCTGTAGTGCCATCTATTAAATTATACTAGTATTAACAAGTAATATGTAACAGAAATCTGTGTAAGAAGAGGGTCGATAAAATGTTTTTCATTAGGAAACGAAGTATTGAGCTTGTGTTTAAATAAACAAACTTAATAATTGTTATTTATTTCATTATTTTTTACCAATAAGTATTTATACAAATCATCCTAGAATCCATTTGATATCTTATTTCAGACTCTGTAGTGCCATCTATTGAGGTATATTAGTTTAAACATGTAGTATTTTACAGAAATCTGTTAAAAAAGAAGGGCCAATAAAATGTTTTCTGTAGACAACGAAGAGTCGAGCTTGTGCTGGAATAAAAAAAGTAATAATATAACTTTATTTCATTAATTTTATCACCTATTATTTGTATAAATCAACCTAAAATCGTCTAAAATTCATTTGATATTTTGTTATTTCAGACTCAGTGGTGTCATCTACTAGATTATACTAGCAGTGAACATGTAATATGTTACAGAAATCTGTTAAAAAAGGAGGGTCAAAAAAATGTTCTCTATAGTCTAAAAATTCTCTTGAAAACAAGGATTCGAGGTTGGGCTTGAATAAAAAAACTATTAAAATGTTACAAGATAATTATCTAATTATTGTTAACAGTTTTGTGTTTGTTCGCAGTTAACATATTTTCTCCATTAATATTTTTATCATAATAATAAGGTATTTTATGGAAATTATCGGCCGAATAATGAAAGATCATAAATTAAGTAGGTAGGTTCTAACAACCTAAACATGTACAAATGCAAATTTTCTTAATAGTAGTATGAAATTAGACAATGAAAGTTAATAAATCTAAAACTGTGTAGAGTCTCGCTGAATTAACTTTCTATTTTCTCCAGATCGGGTTTAAGCAAGTCAAAGAAACGTGTTATGTTTTCTTCAATTCGCATCATTTTGCAATGCAAGTTGATAAGCTAACCGTTTGATGTCCGATGTTTTTGAACCATAGTACCGCTTATCCACCTCTAAGCGATAGAAAACGAAATGTTTTTCTAAGCTAAATGGAAACACAGGTCTCCGGCCAGGAAAAGCTGCTGAACTGTCTTTTTTACAAACTCCTATAATGTTGATTTCGGAACTTTAAACATGCGGGACGGTTTTAAATAACCCATTTCATTTCTATCTACTACGTCTACAGTCTCTAGCATAGTTATAGCCGACCAACATTTGTGCTTTTTACTCCTTCCAGTCATTTCTGAAATAAAAAATTATCGTAAATATTTTATTCTACCAAGTTTTCCTATTTCGGATATGTGATTTTGGGAGCATACCATATATCGGAAATTAGGCCACTCAACGCTATACAGGTTAGATTAAAAATATATATTTTTTTTAAAGGTAATTTCTATTAATGGCAA